GACCAGCTCCCTGCTGAACTCCGTGACTTTCTAGACCTGGTTCAAGAACAGGTCTTTTTTTTCAGACGCTTGCTGCAGTAAATGACATAGATGAGGAATGAGTCCCCCCTGGTGGCTCAGACAGACAGACACATGGGGAAACCTCTGTATTTAGAATCATAGAATGGTCCGGGTTGGAAGGGACCTTAAAGATTGTCTGGTTCCAACCCCCTGCCATGGGTAGGGACACCTTCCATGAGACCAGGTTGCTCAAAGGCCCGTCCAACCTGGCCTTGAATGCTTCCAGAGATGGGGCATCCACAACTTCTCTGAGCAATGTGTTCCAGTGCCTCACCACCCTCATAGAGCAGAAGTATCCTCTGTATCCTCTCCTGTTCCTTACTGCACTTTTACTGTACAAGTCAAGACTATTCCAATGCTTTAAAAAACCTGCGGAACTGGGCTCCATTTTAAAAAGGATCTAGCTAGATAAAGGGAAAATAGGAACAATCAGTTTATCGGGGCTAAAATACCACTTACGACTACGATTATAGAGTCTACAACCTCAACCATTGTGTCTCGTCAAATTGTCCTTAAATCAAAATAACCTGAATAATTTTAAAATCTTTTCAGCAAGTTTAGTGTGCTGGTTTTGGTTGGGATAGAGTTAATTTTCTTCACAGTAGCTAGTATGGGGCTATGTTTTGGATTTGTGATAACACAGGGATGTTTTAGTTATTGCTGAGCAGGGATTACACAGAGTCAAGGCCTTTTCTGCTTCTCCCACCACCCCACCAGCGAGAAGGCTGGGGGTGCACAAGAAGTTGGGAGGGGACACAGCTGGGACAGCTGACCCCAACTGACCAAAGGGATATAACATACCAGATGATGTCATGCTCAGCATATAAAACTGAAGGAAGGGGGGGACGTTCAGAGTGATGGTGTTTGTCTTCCCAAGTAACCAGTACGTGTGATGGAGCCCTGCTTCCCTGGAGATGGCCGAACCCCTGCCTGCCCATGCGGAAGTGGTGAGTGAATTCCTTGGTTTATTTTGCTTGTGTGTGCGGCTTTTGCTTTACCTATTAAATTGTCTTTATCTCAACCCATGAGTTTTCTCATTTCTACCCTTCCGATTCTCTCCCCCGTCCCACCGTGGGGGAGTGAGCAAGCGGCTTGTGTGGTGCTTAGTTGCCGGCTGGGGTTAAACCACGACACTCAGTTTTACATACTTGTGGCTTTTCGTGCCCATGTCAATGCCATTCATAGAACGGAACTCTTGTGATGCTCACTGGAGCCCCAAACTAGTGCACTATGAGTGTGAGGAGTCTGCTCAGTCCCTTTCTAGTCAGTACGAAGGGCACTGGAGAGGAAGGATATAAACTTCTATTTATTTTATTTTTACTAAATACTCTTTCTTTACTATAATCTTTTTCTTACATACTCTGATCCAGAAGGAAGGTGAAAAGGAGAGAGGGAGAAGTGGAAATAGCTACACAGTAGTGTTACCTCACTAGAGTCAATTTACTTCATTTATTTTGAAATTCTTTGCAGCTATGTTTAGTACAGTCCAATTCTCATATCCAGGTAACAGAACATAAAAGAAATCCAAGTCCAGACAATTCAGGACTTCATACCTATGACTTTTCATTTTGACTGCATCTGAGAGTAGAACTCCAAGCCTCCAACCACTGATTTGTGGTTAAAATCCTTAAATTAATTTATGATATCTTTATCTTCTTTCTCAATATATCTAAAAAGTGCTTATCTTATTTGTGATTGCTTTTCAAAATAATCACTTTGTATTTGGATTGTTGGCTGCAGATGAGTACTTTGACCAGATAAGCACTTATAAGTCACTGAAATCTCCCTCAGGAAAGATTTATAATATACGTTATCATAACAACCCATCACAGAAAAAATAAATAACAGTATACCAGTACGGCAGAGGGAAGTACTCCATTTCAAAGTGTTAGTCAGACAGAATTAAAAATTATGCCCTATTTCTTGGCATGTACCAAAACCTCACGTTAATGGAAAACTCTTGTAAGATGTTAAACACGTTTATTCAATAAAGAAAGAGGCAATAATAATTTAATTTT